TATGGGAAACAATCAGTCAATTTTCTTCCATATCTGCCAACTAGGATATTGATAGGTAGCTGATAGAAGTGAATCAGAAAGCTGAAAAGTAAATTATTGGAATGATCTGAATCTTTGAATCTTTGGATAAACAACAAAATCTCCATGACCAACTGTCCTACCCAGGGGCCTATGTTCCTCTTTTCGTCTCTTCCTAATTGGCTTTGGCTACACAACAGTCAATTCAACCAGAGAGGCACTGTGGAAAGAAAAACAATAACCACCACAACTATAGCCAAGGAGCAAAGAGAGAAAAGAGAGCTCAGGATAAAGACAGAATGAATGGTCTCTAATTAAAGGGCTCAAATGCAGCATTCATTTCTAAGGGCACGGGTCAACTGACCCAGATAGTAGCTATATAAAGCCAAAGAAACCCCAGAATAAGAATAAAACTAAAAATAGAAAGGAAAACTGAGAAGGAAGTGTTTGCACTTTTGTCATTGGTCAAGCTGTGCATGCAGCTGTTTTTGTTGCTAAGATGGAATAGGATGGAAGGGATTCAAAAGCCGGCTCTGAGGCAGCCACAAGTGGTCTAAGCGTATGAGGAAATGAGGAAAGCCCCCAGAGAGAATGTTCCACCTGGCAAGTCTATTAAAGTTGGTTAAAATGTAAAAGGAACCAGGAAAAAGACTCCTTTCTGGATGCTAGTATCCCATGAATGTTTGTAAGATACTCCTTTTTACTGTGAGAGGCAAATCTCAACTTTGAGCTCAGGAAAGGAAAACCATAGAATCACAGTGATTTAGAGATAGTTCCAGCTGTATTATAATGTATTATAATGGAGAAAAAAGAAGGCTGGGAAAGATGGATTTAAATGCAGCTCTGCCCCATTCCAGCTATATGAAAGAGCTAGTTATTTTAAACGTCTCTGAGCTTTAGTCTTCTTGGTAAAAACAAAATCTACTTGGATGGGAAATGCAACCTTTGTTAAAACAAAACAGAGTCCTAGTAGAGAAAAATAGTGAAAGGAGAATGTGAAGGCTGGGAGGACTGGCCATGTATGGGGGTCTGAATAATCTGGAATAGCAGGGGATCTTCTGGATACCACCATCTGTCCTGATCACTGGGACCAGAGGCTTCAAAAGAAGGTGCTGACCTGGAAGGTAGAAAGGAAGGCACGGAAGTTCTGTTTACCAGCAGGACACAGATTAACACAGAGATTACACAGCACATTCATAAATTACCCAACGTGCTAATATAAGCAGAAAAAAATTCCTTAGAATACCAACTTATAATGCTACCTTTGTGGATAGTAAAGTAGCAAAAATGAAATTTTGGGCAATTATTTTCTTTAAAGGGATCACACAAAAGAAAATAAAAAGCTCAGAGAATCAAATCAGAAAGAATGGGCTCCTAGAAAGGCCAAACTAAAAACTTAGAGGCACAAACCACAAGACGAATGAATAAGAGCCTGGGGTTGAAGGATGTCCTGGTGTGTGGAAGAGAACAGATGCTTTGGGAAAGGAAGCTCACGCACTCAATCCCATCTGAAAACATCTTATCACTGTTTGAAAGTATACCTATTCCAGCTTAATAGCATATTCACCAGAAACTCTGCCAGGTAGACTTGAACTACCTGGCACTAAGATCTCTTGTGAGAAGACAACAAGGTTGAGAGTGTCACTCTACATAACTCCGTAGCTTCTGAGCATTTGAAACTATGATCTTTGATTTCTTCAACACACTGAATCCTCCTCTCAACTCCAGAATACCATTTCTAGACAAATATCTTCATATATGACTAAACTCAGTATGTTAAAAGTAAAACTATTTGTCTTCCTTCTCCGCCTGAGGTTCTCTGAGTTAAGCCACAACCTCAAGGTCATCTTTGATTCTTCCCCTTTTTCTTATGCCCAAACCAACAAGTCATCACTGACAGTTCTATAGAAGCATGCCTTGCTGTGACTGCCATGGCCACCGCCCTCGTATCTCCCTTACATCCTTGCTGTCTCCCCTAATGGAGGCTATTCAGAGATGCCTGAATTATCTTCCCAAGTATGAATGTCATTCTCCTGCTCGAAAATTCCTCAAGAGCTTCCCTTTCCCCACAGAATAAAGTCCAGACTCCTTGGTATAACAAACAAGACAACAACCGTGCCCAACTTCCGTTTTCTTTTCCCCCCTTTCCCACTGAATGCAAAGTTCTAGCCACAACAGAATACCTGTTCTTTCTAGGACATATCCTGCACTCTGCTCCTTTGATCACAATGTTCCCTCAGCCTTGAATGTACATTTTTATTGAGTGTCTACCATGTGTCAGACACTGTTTCAAGTGCTGGGATTAAAAACAAGACGGAGAAGGTCCTTGTTTTCATGGAGCTTAAATCTTTCACTCATCTCCAAGGTCCAGCTCAAATCTACACCTTCCTTGAAATTCTTTCCAATTAATTACACATGAGGACTAACTTCTTCCTTCTTTATACTTCTCCTAGAGCATTTAGCACATTTTGTCTTGTGCAACATTTATATACCAGTGTGTCTTCTAGTCTGGACTATAAGCTTCTTGAAGGTAGAAACTAGGTGGTCATTCATCTATGAGGACTTACACAGTGTCTCACACATGGAAGAGACTTAATGTTTCTGGGATTACATCAAATCTATCTCAACCTGTTTCTATTTATGATTTAAAAAACACTCCATAAAAACAAAAAAAAGTGGAGTTTTGCCTATTTTAAAGAAATGTAAATACTTTTGGGGGGCATATAAATTAAAAATTATAGTGGGAAGACTTAAAAATATACCCACAATATTATAGCCTGACTCTTAGGCTTGGAGTCCATTTGAATATCTTGTATAAATAAGTCTATATCACTCCTTAGGAAATTGTGATCCAGATGCTAAGAGCTTCTAAACAAGAGACTTCTTCACTTAGTCACCAGTTGGTAAAAGGCTTCCTACCCTGGACTGGAAGTCTTATTTCTATAAACAATTAGAGAGCTGCCCATTAGTCTTCCTCTAAGGGGACCTAGAGACCGACAACGAACCATTTCCAAGTCATTTACCACTGCCAAAGGCAAGTGAGCACCCTAGAAAAATAACAGAAGCAGCCTCTACCTGACCTAGTCCATTGATAAAGCCTTGATTTAGGAGAGACAGCAACACTATTTATCCTTTTTAAAAATCAAAACTGAAAAATGACTTAATTTAAAATCTGATCTGCATGGAAAAAAGGACTGTCCTTTAGATCAAAGACGGCTAAGCAACCCATAATCTTGAACTGGATCCTGGACAAATCAGATGTAAAGAACAGATTTGGGGCCAGGTGTAGTGTGGCTCACACCTGTAATCCTAGCACTTTGGAAGGCTGAGATGGGAAGATTGCTTGAGGACAGGAGTTCAAAACCAGCATAAGCAAGAGTCAGATCCCGTCTCTACAAAAGATAGAAAAATTAGCCAGGCGTAGTGGCACATGTTTGTAGTCCCAGCTACTCCGGAGCCTGAGGCAGGAAGATGGCTTAAGCCCAGGAGTTTCAGGTTGCAGTGAGATATAATGACACCACTATACTCTAGCCTCTACAACAGAGCAAGACTCTGTCTCAAAAAAAAAAAAAAAAAGAAAAAAAAAAAGAATATATTTGGAACAATTTTGAATTGACAGGGTTGAATATAGACAGGGTATTAGATGATATTCAGGGATTATTATTTTTTGTTGGGTGTAATATGTAGAAAAAAGTTCTGTTCATTAGAGACATAAAATATTATATGGGTGAAATATTAAGATGTCTGTTATTTTCTTTAAAATACTCTCTTATATACTGAAGTATTTATTTTATTTTATTTTATTTTATTTTTTTTTTTGAGACAGAGTCTCACTTTTGTTGCCCAGGCTAGAGTGAGTGCCATGGCGTCAGCCTAGCTCACAGCAACCTCAAACTCCTGGGCTCAAACGATCCTCCTGCCTCAGCCTCCCAAGTAGCTGGGACTACAGGCATGTGCCACCATGCCCGGCTAGTTTTTTGTATATATATTTTTAGTTGGTCAATTAATTTCTTTCTATTTTTAGTAGAGACGGGGTCTCGCTCAGGATGGTTTCGAACTCCCAACCTCGAGCAATCCGCCCGCCTCGGCCTCCCAGAGTGCTAGGATTACAGGCGTGAGCCACCGCGCCCGGCCTATACTGAAGTATTTTAAAGAAAGTTATAAAACAAACCAACAGTTATTAAAATATCAACAGTCACTTTCTATCTGTTAACAGGTCATGGTCACTTTATGAGTGGGCAGTCCTATTAGATGAGTCAGGTTCAGGGTCACTCTTCTGCACCAGAGATTGATGGTCCCCACAAGCAGTGAAAGAGTTGGGGGAGCGCAGTGGGGAGCCACGTATTAGATGGCACATGCAGAGGGGTCTCTTCTGAAGTGCCTTCCTCCCGTTGTATTATTTTACTCTGTAATTAAGAAAGCGGGGGCCAGGCGAGGTGGCTCATGCCTGTAATACTAGCATTCTGGGAGGCCAAGATGGGTGAATTGCTCAAGGTCAGGAGTTCGAAACCAGCCTGAGCAAGAGTGAGACTCCGTCTCTATTAAAAATAAAAAGAAATTAATTGGACAACTAAAAATATACAGAAAAAATTAGCCGGGCATGGTGGCACATGCCTGTAGTCCCAGCTACTCAGGAGGCTAAGGCAGGAGGATTGCTTGAGCCCACGAGTTGGAGGTTGCTGTGAGCTAGGCTGACGCCACGGCACTCTAGCCCAGGCAACAAAGAGAGACTCTGTCTCAAAAAAAAAAAAAGAAAGTGAGGAGAAAACTATTGGCTTATCATTCACTATAACACACCAAGACATCTCCTGGTGACATAATGAAAATCATCTTGCTTCTGGTTTAAGAAAGATTATACCTCTTTGACTGAAATCATAAATAAATTTTAGGCTTTGCAGCCGATCTGAAAACCAAATGTTGAATGTTCCATTCACGTTTTCTTCAGCCCACAAAGCAAGGGGGAAAACAGTTCTCCAACACGAAGAATCTTAGCAAATATTTTATTAACACATACTGTCATATTTCTGGGATAGAAGAGTCCTCAGAACATTGCCCTGCACTACAGATGCTGAAATGGGTGTTCAGGTCCTTGGTCCTCCATCTAGTCTCACAACCCTGCATCCTCCAATAGAGCCAGGCTTGCTGTCCCTTACCCTGTTCACTTTCCTGTGTGGAAACAGGGCTCCTCTCAGTCAGATGCCGAGGATTGATACTCACTGCCTTTGCAATGGCAGGCGCTCCTTATGATTAAACCAGAATGGAGAAAAATTTTGTTGACTGAAAAGGGATTATTTTTCAAAAAGTCACTCTCATTCACGTTCTCTCCAGGAAGGGGCTGGAATGTTTTCAGGATGAGCATAAAGATTCCCACTGCCGAAATATTCGGAATACTTTCCTTGATTTCTCAGAGAGACTCTGTAAGTATAAAAGCTTATTATTAGAGATTAAATTCTTTTATAGAGACAAAGGATAGATAATAGCCTTATGGCCTGATCTATAAATTTCTCCCACAATGATCTAGGTATGTCTAGGATTAAGTAAAAGTCATTTTATATTTGTACTATACATAATGTATACCTAAAGTCAGATTAAAGATCAAAAAGTCAGTCTGGCTGGGCATGGTGGCTCATGCCTGTAATACTAGCCGGTTTGGGAGGCTGAGGTAGGAGGATCACTTGAGCTCAGGAGTTCGAGACCAGCCTGAACAAGAGTGAAACCCTGTCTTTACACAAAAATAGAAAAACTAGCCAGGCATGAGGGCACACACCTGTAGTCCCAGCTACTTGGGAGACTGAGGCAGGAGGACTGTTTCAACCCAGGAGTCTAAGGTTACAGTGAACTCAATGACACCATTGCACTCGAGCTGAGGTGACTCAAAATAATCAAACAAACAAACAAACAAAAAAAGCCAGTCTTCCACTGTCAAAATGCTGCTAACACACTCTGAGTCTCTAAAACTTGGCTCATATCTTCCCTCCACGTATGTGTATCTGTCCTAAACTCTGTATGTTAGCATGACACTTCCGACCCACCATTAGTACAACAAACATTTTACACTGGTTTTTCATCCATGATGCTGAATTGGGCCTAGTTCATTATTTCCTGTGAATAAGTAATCACATTTAGCAAGTTTCCGTAGTGTAGTGGTTAACACGTTCGCCTAACACATTTATGTGATACCTAGCTGGGGTTAACAGTATAATCCAAGGACAAGGAATCAAGTTGAATGACCCCTAAGAGTTTAAATTATGACTTTGGCCTTCTCAGCTTTATGTTTTTGCCAGCAGAGCTAATAATAGGAAGAATCTCATTGCCACTTGATCATGCCTATGAAGTGCTCTGAGATTCTGAGAAATGGTGTTAAAGGGAGACAAAGCAATTCATTAGAAGGTAAAAGTTCTCATCAGTGCATCAGAACACCTGGTTCTCTCTGCTTTTTGGAGTCACAATAAAAAGCAAATACTCCATGCAGAAAGGGTCTCAGTTACAGTTCAAAGAATATTCAGCAAGATGATCCATAAAAATACCTGCAGTTCCTTGTATAAGATGACATTTTCATTGTTTTTATTTTTTTAACCTATCCTCTTTGTAGATGAGTGTTTCAATAAAGTAAAGGTCCAGGAGGGAAAAGCTTACTCTTACTAAAGCTTGAGAATTTAGTTAATATAGTGCCAAAGTTTAAAGAAACAGTTGAAAAATAGTATAAACTCTTCTCTAACATCAGGATCCTTTGCCACAGTCTCTTTAAATTTTATATTTTCCAGTCACAGCAGCTATGGGGAGGTTAAAAGACAATTACCAAAAAGGATCTTAAAAGTTCTGGAACGCAGAGCCAATTACGAGGCCAACCTTTTCTACTACAAAAAACAAAACCAAACCAAACCCTGTGGACTTTCCTTTTAGCATGTCAGTGACTGAAAGGAGTCTTAAAAAACTGTCAACATATTCTTTTCCTGAAGATCTAGGTGTAGAAAATTTATGTGCAAAGATAGATTTAATCTCTCCAACTTGAGAGGTGGATCAAACATTTGTCTTCAAATAGCTTTATATATTTTCAAAAGTTTTTTTTTTTTTTTTTTTTTTTTTTTGAGACAGAGTCTCGCTTTGTTGCCCAGGCTAGAGCGAGTGCCGTGGCGTCAGCCTAGCTCACAGCAACCTCACACTCCTGGCTCAAGCAATCCTCCTGCCTCAGCCTCCCAAGTAGCTGGGACTACAGGCATTCGCCACCATGCCCGGCTAATTTTTTGTATATATATTAGTTGGCCAATTAATTTCTTTCTATTTATAGTAGAGACGGGGTCTCGCTCTTGCTCAGGCTGGTTTCGAACTCCTGACCTCGAGCAATCCGCCCGCCTCGGCCTCCCAGAAAGCTAGGATTACAGGCGTGAGCCACCGCGCCCGGCCTCAAAAGTTTTTAAATTGGAAAAATACAGAGCTTTTTTCTATGAAAACCTAGAAAACCGTCATCTTCATATTAATTAAGGGCACTAATGTACATTTTGAAACTTTTAGCATCACTATGGCTCCCTCTAGTGGAATCCTGTGGCTCTACAAAACCACAAATCTGGGAATGCTGCCTGTAAATACCTGCTCTGTCCTTGGAAGGTACAGAGGTCAGAAGTTGTTATATTTATACCCGGCTACGAGGCAAATCTGGGAGTGAGCCAGCAAAGGAAAGAGAACCCTGTGTTCACAATTCCTTAATGCCTATTCTATCACTTTTCATCCTTTACACAGAGCAAAAATTTGACTTGTTTTCTCAACTGTCACCCACATTTGCAACCCACAGCAGTCATGGCCACGATGGCTAGCAGAGGTCCAGTATGCAAATCTTGGCTGTGGAACAAAGTAACATGTCCAGTATGAGGTGTCAGAGCACAGTGCTCCAAAGAGCTAAGTTAACTTGCCAGGGTCCAAATGCAAGTGACAGCAACTGACGGAAAAAGCAGCTGTTCTGCAACACGAGGCAGGAGCAGTTGCCTATTCATCTCTTTCTGTTTATGTATTCCCTTTCTACTTTGAGTCACTTTAGTTGGGAGAACAAAGAATTTATCAGAATTTGATATTATGCCATATGCTAGACTGCAGGAAAACTTAACTAGTTCCATGCCTATTCTCTAGAGTGAAAGCAGATTAAGTCTAACTTGACTTATGAAAGCTGAGGGCAGGCAGGGTGCTAATTACAGGACCAGCCTCTGCTCCTCATCCCATAAACAGTATCTCACCATGGAGTCCGTTTCAGCTGGCTGATTGGACTGTTTGTGGGCCAACAGGATGGTCAGCACTGCCTTCCAGCCCGGCTCTACTGGGGAGCTGGCATCTGGTTCGGCTCCACCATTCTCCTTGGTTTCCATGCCAAGGGTGACATTCACCCACGGACACCAGTCTCTATGCTGAGAGGTGGGATCAAAGAAGCTTCGGGAAGATGTGTCCTGAGGAAGGAAGAAAAGAAACAGCGTTCATGAAAGGCAGAGGCCATGTAAATTCCAGGAGGTATTTTTAAAATATATATATATTTTTATTCACCTCCCTGCCCCGGGAGGTATTGCTATTAGTTATCAAGCCTAGAATATCACAAGTGTCCATACTTCTAGATTTTATGTTTGCCTTTAACTCCGCCAACATGTGTGCCTCTCATTTTCTTCATTCTTTCACCCCTTTTGTGGTAAACAAACTGCACCCTATTAGGTTTGTCCCCCTACCTCACCACTGTCTCATTTACCTGAAATGTTTATTACCTTTCCAGAATCTACCTCCAAAGGAACAAATGACAAAACCCTTATATTTTTCCCCTTTGGTCACCTGGAGGACCAAGGCAGTGCTCGTGCCTGCTTCTCTTGCCGCACAGCGAGGGCACAGCATGCTGTTTGCGCAAAGATGGACTCACCGAGCTGCTAGAAGAGCAGAGGCGAGCTCGTTTGGCTTTCCGCACAGGGCTGGATGGTACTTCAAGGCCAGTGGTGTCTCCTGTTCCCATGCTTCGAGTCACTGGGCGGGTTCTGGTAGTTGGGCTAGCAGCCTCTAGCTCAGGGCGGTCAACAGGACTGGAAGAGTCCCAGCTCCGAGTACGGGAGACAATGGGACCTGGGCTCTTTTCAGTCTAAAGAAAAGGGAAGATGACAGAAGTACACAAATGATATTAGTGATTATGGTCAGAAGTATTTCTAAAGCATGTGACAGCTAACATTTTATACTTTAAATTATAAGAATATAGTTTCTGAACTGCCTACAACAAAACTTTTTGAAGAATATTGATTTCTATGCTGCATTTTTATGAGTTTAGCTTTTCAACTGGTGAATAGAAACACTATGTGGTATTCTGATCAATGTGGTGGGAGGTGAAGCCTAACCGCCACCTAAGTTAATTTCCAACGCTCCACCAACAATACCTGTCAAGAATGCCGTGAAAAAGTCCACCCCAAACTGTCTAAGTCCATACCTGTTCTGCACCTGGGGAAAAAGTAGCATCTTGGCTCCGGGTCATCATCCTCCGAGGAGATTCAGGCACCAGAGGGAAGCGCTCTGGCCGCCCCTCAAGGCCTAGGATGGGGGAGCTGGCCAGGCCAAAGCAGGCATCCAGGTCAGTCATGGATGATTCAATCTGCTGGAAGCCCCAGAGTCCCACCTTCCTCATGCACTGTGAACATGTTATCAGGGAGAGCTGCATGGGTTCCAAAGAAGAACTAGGTAGGAATGAAAAAGAAAAGAGTTTTCTCAAAGGGTAACATTTCCAAGTGACTAAGTGTAATGACTTGTGAGCATGCTTTATCTCATCAAATTTCTGGAACAGTCCAGTGGACTGGGAACCATGTTCTCTCAGAGCCCCTGGCCTCTGATCTCAGGACCCTAGCTTTGTCATCTCTTACATATTTCCTATAGAAAGATCTAGAGGTCTTGGTATGCTTTCTAAGGCAAGATTATTTTCAAGGTATGTTTTATGTATTATTCCTATCCCTCTAAAGTTTTTTCCTTTTAACAATACTTTAAAAATATTCCTTAATCTACCAAAGCAAGCATATTGAAAATAAATCAAGATTGTTTCTAAGAGTCTTCTATCTAAGAGGGTGTCTACACCAAATTGAGCAGCTGGATGGAAACACCAATATAGGGCCCTACAGGACTCCAGCTGGTGCTTCCTTTGGTAGTTTTTATCAATTAAGCTGATTTTTTTTCCTTTCTAAAAATAGAAAGGAGCTTCTTTTCCATTTTTGAGAGAAACTTTACTGTTTATAGGAACACAAATTTCCAGCTGGGAAGTAACAGTATCAGAAACAAATTTCAGTTGTGAAAAACGAGGATTACTGAGTTCTAATTCAGTCCTAGTTACTAATTCTTATTATCCACCCCCAGGTTTCTCTTTGTTTCTGTTTTTCTCCCAGGAAACACCATGTGACTTCCAAATACTATTAGTGTCTGATATATGGGTGTAATATTGTGGTCACGGTTCATGTCCCCCAGACAAAATCTACTGACTAACCTACATGCCCAGCCACAGACAGCAAGGATACAGGCAGTGACATGGACTTGGATGTCTGAGCCTAATTTGCCTGTAGTTTTTCTCTCATCAGTTTGGTGATCAAGTTCATCTTCAAGCAGGTGTAGAAGAAGACTGATCTTATCTTCTGTCAAGCACTACAAGGAAACCAAGTAAAACACTTCAAGTTTCAATCACCATAAAAAGAAAAATCATCAACGATAATGTACCTAGATGTTACAAGCCAAAATCAGGAAATAAATGATAAACATGAAGACAGTTCTCTCTTTTTTTTTTTTTTTGAGACAGAGTCTCGCTTTGTTGCCCAGGCTAGAGTGAGTGTCATGGTGTCAGCCTAGCTCACAGCAACCTCAAACTCCTGGGCTCAAGCAATCCTGCTGCCTCAGCCTCCCGAGTAGCTGGGACTACAGGCATGCGCCACCATGCCCAGCTAATTTTTTCTATATATACTAGTTGGCCAATTAATTTCTATTTATAGTAGAGACGGGGTCTCACTCTTGCTCAGGCTGGTTTCGAACTCCTGACCTTGAGCAATCCGCCTGCCTCGGCCTCCCAGAGTGCTAGGATTACAGGCGCGTGAGCCACCGCACCCGGCCGACAGTTCTCTTTATAGAGAAGGCACTTCTAGGACAGGGCTAAGGTATCACAGAGCTTTCTTTCTTATTTATTTATTATTATTTTTTTAATAAGTAGTTGGCCAATTAATTTCTATTTTTAGTAGAGATGGGGTGTCGCTCTTGCTCAGGCTGGTTTCGAACTCCTGACCTTGAGTGATCTGCCCGCCTGGTTTCCCAGAGTGTTAGGATTATCGGTGTGAGCCACCACACCCGGCTGAGCTTTCTGAATTACTCTGATCTGCTGATTGAGCGAGGTAGCACTTTTCCTGGAACTACCAAATCTTTTCTTAGCACTAAATTGTTTTTAATTAACCAGGTGCAGATTTTCTCTGAAACCTGTAAACTTCAAACCCAAATAACAAAAACAGATTACTGCTTATGTCTTGCCTGAACAACAGAGATTGCCAGTACTTTATTTTTGTTCTACGAAAAATAAAGAACTATGACAGGGTGAAAAAAAATTGCCTTGGCTAGGGACAGGGTGACATTTACTTATTTTTATTTTTGTCTTTTTAACATTTTAAATTTTTTTGTTTATTTTTTAGAGACAGGGTCTTGCTCTGTCGCCTAGAGTGTAGTGCCACGATCATAGCTCACTGCAACTTCAAACTCCTGGGCTCAAGTGATCCTCCTGCCTGAGCCTCCTGAGTAGCTGGGCACTACAGGCACGTGTCACCATACCCGGTTAATTTTATTTATTTTTTGCAGAAATGAGGATCTTGCTATGTTGCCCAGCCTGGTCTTGAACTCCTAGTCTCAAGCAATCCTACCACCTTGGTTTCAGAGTATAGAATGGGATAGAGAATTTCAACATTGCTATTCACAAAGAGAAGGGAGTTTATCACTTGTCCTCTAGCATATTCTTTGGAAAATGGTATGCAATAAACCATATATAGTCACACTGCAGTATATTCTGTTACACAGTTTAAGTAATAAATCAAGATAAAATTAATTTAATGGGGAACATATATTCAGGGCAACTTGAATCTATGCTCCTGGGTTCCAGTCCTAAAATTTGGCCCAAAGAAACTACTTATATTCTTAAAAAAATGAATTTATGCCATTTAAAGAACCATACCTAAACATTTAAATGGAATGCTCAAAAGTCACTTCTCTGGTGGAGATTGAAAAGGTCAACTGAGACAGACAGGACATTCTCTTCAGAACAACTGTATCCTCTTGTCATTGAAAAAAATGCTTTGTGTATAAATGCAGGTGACAACTGGAGGCCACTGCAGCCTAGCCAGGTAAAACTCACCATGGTTTTCAAGTCCTCTGGCCTCAGGGAAGGAAGCTGGAGGTCCAAGTGACAAAGGCTTTGAAATCGATCTAGGAATTCACTAACAAGAATAGCAGGCTCATCCAATGGCAACATCCCAAATCGATCTGTGGAAAAAGTAAACTGAACAATTATATTGATGTAAATTGTAAAAAAGTAAAAAACATGAGTAAAAAAGTAAAAAACACAAAGAACAACTGGGGAAATGCAAAATTGACGAGATATATTTGATGACATTAAGAAATTACTGGTTTTTGTTTTGATGGGACTGTAATGATACTACTGTGAGCATGTTTAAATAGCAGAAGATGGGCATGGTAGTGAGTGCCTGTGGTCCCAGCTACTAGGGAAGCTTAGGCAAGAGGATTGCTTGAGCCTAGGAGCTCAAGGCTGGCCCGGGCAACACAGTAAGACCCCATCTTGAATTTTTAAAAAATTAATTAAAAGAAAAAGCAGAGTCCGTATCTTCTATATCCTGAAATATTTACAGATGAAATGGTATGAGATCTGAGATTGAGCTTCAGAACAATGCAGAGCGGCAGGGAGGTATTAGGAATATAGAAGAAACAAGACTGGCTGTTAAGTTGGTAGTTGTTTAAATTGGGTAATGATAGATGGGGTTTCATTATATACTATTCTCTGTATTTTTGTGTATGTTTGAAATTGCTACCTTAAGAAAAAGTGAAGAAAAAAAACAAAAACAGAGTTACTGGAGACAGAGGCCTGAATAGGTAACAGGGCTTAAAGAACCAGCCTTTTATAACAACTACCAAGTTAGGGATAACCTATTGTGAGCTAAAAATGAAAAAATGCCATGTTCCTAAAGTTTACATGAGATATAAAAAGGTTTACATTATAAGGTAAAGCAAAACTGGGCATTAGAGTACACAAAGTGTAAAATTAGTAAGTACACTAGTTATACCTAAGTTGGAGAAGAAGGAATCTGTCTCAAAACCAACTAGTGTAGAAATTAATTGATTATACACTACAATTACATTTGGTGTTACCCAATTCATCTATTGGTTATTTGGTACACTGGTTGCAAATGCAAACGGTGAGTGCAGATAAGCTTTGCTGAGTCACTTTTGAAGGAGGTCAGTCTATTAGGCCTCCAATGATAAGTAGAAACCACATTGAATCAGCTTCAATAAAGAATGAAAATACATTTGGAAGTGAAAGATTTCATAAGAAAAATGAAAAGAGGACACATCATCCTAACCTGATCATTTAAATAGTAGGGAGCCACTTGCCTCAGTGGTCTTTCCTTAGCCTCAAATTAACATCCAGTTGTAGCCAGGCGTGGTGGCTCACGCCTGTAAACCTAGCACTCTGGGAGGCCGAGGTGGGTGAATTGCTCAAGGTCAGGAGTTCAAAACCAGCCTGAGCAAGAGCGAGACCCCGTCTCTATTATAAATAGAAAGAAATTAATTGGCCAACTAAACATATATATATATAGAAAAAATTAGCTGGGCATGGTGGTGCATGCCTGTAGTCCCAGCTACTCGGGAGGCTTAGGCAGCAGGATCGCTTGAGCCCAGGAGTTTGAGGTTGCTGTGAGCTAAGCTGACGCCATGGCACTCTAGCCCAGGCAACAAAAGTGAGACTCTGTCTCAAAAAAAACCCCAAAAAACAAAAAACATCCAGTTGTTCAACAGTCACTATAATGCAGCTCTTTGGCTACAAAGATGAAAGACACATTCAACACCCTTAAGTTACTCACAGTCTAATATGGAAGGCAGACAAGCAATGACATAACAGTGTAATAGGTATTATCACAAAAGTAAATAGAGTTTTTATGGGAGTTAACAAGAGGGATATAGCAGATACTTCTGGCCATTCACCCTGAAACTATCCCCTGCTCTGCTTTGCTTTTTTTCTTTCTTGAGACAGAGTCTCACTCTGTTGCCCATGATAGAGTGCCGTGGTGTCAGCCTAGCTCACAGCAACCTCAAACTCCTGGGCTCAAGTGATCCTCCTGCCTCAGCCTCTGGAGTAGCTGGGACTACAGGCATGCGCCACCATGCCCGGCTAATTTTTTCTATATATATTTTTAGTTGTCCAGCTAATTGTTCTATTTTTAGTATAGACCAGGGTCTTGCCTCCTTTGCTCAGGCTGTCTCAAACTCTGAGCTCAAACAATTGCCCACATTGGCCTCCCAGAGTGCTAGGATTAATAGGCGTGCGAGCCTCCTGCGCGCCAACCCTCCTTGCTTGAGATTTTGCGTTACCGCCTGACTTCCCCACAGGGGTATTCACTCACTGATTTGTCTCCACCATCACAGCAATAGTATTCCTCTTAGCAGTGACCCAGGTAGGAAGGAGCATTTGACCCAGTCACAGCCAATAAAGAGGAAGTCTCTTGGGGATTCTGTGACTACGAAGGAGGCTTCCATTTTTTTGGTGAATGGTGGTTACACATGATTCTTTAAACTGCGCCATCATGCAACCTTGGGAGAAACTAGTTTTATTTTTTTATTTTTATTTATTTATTTTTTGAGACAGAGGTCTCGTTTGTTGTCTAGGGCTTAAGTGGAGTCCCGTGCGCGTCAGCCTAGCTCACAGTCAACCTCAAACTCGCGGCCCCCGAGCCGATATCCTTCCTGCCCAGCCTCCCCGAGTAGCTGGGACGTAAAGAGGCACACGGCATGTGCCACCAATCGCCCCGCGTCAATTTTTTTTCATATATAGTATCCGAGTTGGCCCAATCTAAGTCTTTTTCTATTTATAGTAGACAGACGGGGTCCTCGCCTTGCTCAGGCTGGTGTTTTGAACTCCTGACCTTGAGCAATCCCGCCCGCCTCGGCCTCTTCCAACGAGCTAGGATTAACAAGGCGTGAGCACCGCGCGCCCCGGCCAGCCAAACTAGTTTTAGAATAAAAAAAACCATGTTTCTTGCAAGAACTGCATTTAGTGATATCACTGAGCCAAAATAAAATCCACCTTAGATGATCCTAACTTGGCACTTATTTCATAATTACGACGTTTTCTACTGTTACAGCCAATTTCAATCACTTTTTTCTTCTTTCTTCTTCTCGCATCCCTGCCTCCCTTCCCTCAACCTCTCTTCTTCTTTATTTCTGACATTAAGTCTAGAATTGTTAGGGTAAGGGGTTTAGGAAAGGTTTCTTCAGAGGCAGTCAGGAGTGCCGATTTGGCCGACAGAGTTAAAGCTAAGAGCCAAAGGAGGGGGACAGGAGAGGGGGGAGATCCGGGGGGGGAATTCTAGGATAGATACACGGCAGATCAGTGTCGTGGGGGATAGTCGTAGGAGCAGAAGGCTAAAGTGTCAGAACAATCGGCCAGACCCCCTCGATTTACTTAATGTCTGTGATGAGGCAACTACTGAAAGATTATTTTTATTCATAATTTTACTGAATAACAACATATACAAACAGGGAGCCTTGACAGAAACCCCAGAAAGATTTTTATATTAAAAAATATATATAATTTATATATATTATGAGAACAGATAACATTCTGCCATGCCCGCAGGCTAAGAAGTGCTATGGTGTCAGCCTAGCTTACAGCAACTTCAAACTCCTGGGCTCAAGCAATCCTTCTGCCTCAGCCTCCCGAGTAGCTAGGACTACAGGCATGTGCCACCATGCCTGGCTAATTTTTTCTATATATATTTTTAGTTGTCCAGCTAATTTCTTTCTATTTTCAGTAGAGATAGCTTTTGCTCAGGCTGGTCTCCAACTCCTGAGTTCAAAGGATCCACCTGCCTCAGCCTCCCAGAGTGCTAGGATTACAGGCGTGAGCCACCACGCCTGGTTGAAAGATTTTTTTTTTTAAGGAGGAGGGGATGTTATAAAGAACAGGCAATAGTGTAGAGACTGTAAGAGGTAAGTCTGGAGGCAAAGAAATAAATTTAGAAGACAGTAAAGAGATTTAAAGTAATAATCCCTGTAGTACACTCATGGCAAAAGGATGGAGAGGAGGAATATCAATGTTGTAAAACTCTTAATGTTCAATAAAACCTCATATTATAAAAAAAGCATACAATAATATGCATCTTTAAATTAGGAAAATGAATATAAACTGAAAATAGAAATTTAGCAATGCTGGTTTCATGCACATATGTCAAAACTTATCAAATTGTAGATCTAAATATGTGCAGTTTCTTTTATGTCGATTATACCTCAATAAAGCTGTTTTTTTAAAAGAAAGAAGTCTCTTCTCCAGTTATGTTATTAGAAGAGGCACCAACGCAGGAACAGTAGCACTTCTGCCCACACTATCTGCACTTTAGCGAACAGATTTTTGGTCTCTAATATTAAAAGAATTAGGCTCTTTGTAGAGTTGCTGATTCCATGTCTTGGAGCAAGGACAACAAATCAAGTTGGATCTAGAATATGCTGTTGTTGCTAGAAAGCAAGAATGCTTTCATGAATGCTAAAGACAATGCTGAAAGTACAGAATAGTCAGTTTAAAGAAGATCCATTATCCCAGTTGTGAATACCTGAAACTCAAAGAAGAGAATAATCATTATAATTAAACTGTTTTTGAAAGGCCTTGAGTTCTTAATGATAATCAAAGAGTATAAAATAGTAATAATTTTTCAAATTAAAATTAATTTTAGTAAGTAGAAGAGCATTGCAATATTTATAAGTATTGTTTCTTCTACCAAGTAAGTTTCTTTCTTTTTTTTTTTTTAAAGACAGAGTCTCGCTCTATTGCCTCAGCTAGAGTGCAGTGGTATCATCATAGCTCACTACAACCTCAAACTCCTGGTCTCAAGGGATCCTCCTGCCTTAGCCTCTCCAGTAGCTGGGACTACAAGCGTGCACCACCACACCCAGCTCATTTTTTCTATTTTTAGTAGAGATGGGTCTTGATCTTGCTCAGGTTAGTCTCGAACTCCTGACTTCAAGTGATAAGCAGGCCTTAGTTTTCCAGAGTACTAGGATGACAGGTATGAGCCACCACGCCTGGCCAAGTAGTACATGTTTCTTGTTTCAATCTGTGTAACGTGTCATCAGTAGGAATGATAGAGGAAGGACTTCTGAAAATCCTCTCCTTTATAAGAGGAATAAGAACACTAGCAAAAGTTGTCAAAATCAACTTTCTGGCCAGGCACGGTGGCTCAAGTCTGTAATCCTAGCAC